ACAGGAAGGAATGGTTACACTAGATATTTCCCATTTGGGAGCAAATCTTTAAATCTCTGTTCCAATTTCCCTCTCTCTCTCTCTCTCTCTCTCTCTCTCTGTCTCTCTCTCTCTCTCTGTTTGTGTGTGTTTATTTGTTTAGTATGTGGCATATCATACCTGGATTTGCAATATATATTAACATTTCATCTAGACTAATAAAACAATATAATATAAATTTGAGAAATATCTATGTTATCAACCAATGTCTAGGCCATGGGTAGGCAACCTTGGCTCTTTTATGACTCGTGGATTTCAACTCCCAGAATTCCTGAGCCAGCATGGCTCAGATTGGAAACCTCTCCATTTCTCCTCAGCATGGCTGGCTCAGGAATTCTGGCAGTTGGAGTCCACGAGTCAAAAAAGAGCCAAGGTTTCCTCCCCCTGGTCTAGGCCCTCTAACCCTTGAAGCGAAGCATCATGTATATTTTAAAATGAGAAACTGTATATGCCCTCAGTTTACAGTGGGGCATGATGTGATGTACAGTGTGACGTGGGATCCTCAGTTTGTGTGTGTTTCAACACCTGTTTGCTGTGTCTGAGACCTAATGCTAATTGTTGTTTAAATTGTCCTGGCCCAGAATTGTTCCTCATCCTGTTAGTTCCCTTTCTTTTCTGCTTCGCTGGCAGAATGTAGTGGCTGGTCTTTACATTTTCTTCAGCTGTCAGGCCAAACCTTTACATTTATTATTTAACCTTATGTCAAGATTGAGCTAGACTAGTACAGGTAGTCCTCAACCTCCTACCGTTCACTTAGTGACCGTTTAAAGTTATGACAACAGCAAAAAAGTGACTTATGATCATTTTTCACACTTATAGTGTGACGTGATCAAACGTTAGATCCTTGACATACTTATGTTCATACTTATGACTCTTGCTGTGTCCTAAGGTGACGTGTTCACCTTTTGCAACAGTTTGAAAAGCAAAATCAATGCAGAAGCCAGATTCACTTAACCTCCATGTAACCAACTGGATAACCCAGTATAATTTTGCAGGGTTCTTCGTTTCCTCTCAATACACTCTACTAAAACAACGGCTTTGTAAAGGTGGGAAAGAGCTATAGCCATTCGCACTTCCTTAATTTATCTCAACATGACATCTTAGATTCTCTTTTTTATCATGCCTTTCTCTGTTTTGTAGGATATTATGGTAAAACAGTAGCTGCTCAGTCATCGTATTTAGTGGATTTAGCAAATGACTAGACTTTATGAGAAGAATCGTGGAAATGGCAAGTAGCGGGTTTTCCATAGTTGTTAGTGACAGACCTATTGCATTCTGGCCCTTGTTGTTGTTATCACATGGCAATAACATTGGGGAATGCACTGATTGAAATAACAGCTCTGGTGTCTCTTAAAAATCAAACTTTTCTTCTGCATTTATGCATTCTTTGCCTCCTAGGACTTCTGATAAAGGAGGATTCGTTCTTCTGTTCTTGTATTTCATTTTGACAACCCATCCTTACTATACAATATTTGTGTAGCTCGGTTACTGTGGTCAGCGGCCTAGAGCAGTGCTTGAGTGGCATTGGGATGTGGGGAACTTGGAAAATGCTGAAAATTTGGGAGTTATCTCTAGATAATCAATAAAGCTTTTTCTATTTCAATATATATAGGTACCCATTTGCAATATGACTTTTGGCAGTAAATAATAATTAACATTAATCATTGCAATATTGTCGGCATCATCAACGACCAAAATACGCATCACACCAGAGGCAACTCGTGTCTACATTCACAGCCCCCTGAAAAACATCCTGGCCCAAGGGAGCTTTTATCATTTACGGTGGACATGTGATAAAGTAAAGAAATATTGGAGTAGGATTTCTATTCTAATACAGAAAATTCTGAAAGTGAATATAAAGGTAAAAGCAGAAACTGTTCTTTTTGGCTTAATGGAAAAAAGACTTGGAAACAATGATGGAACTTCAATGTTATATACGTTGATGGTAGCCAGACTACTTTATGTACAAAAAGGGAAGGACATTTCGATCTCCACAATGGAGGAATGGTTGCAAAAGTTGATGGAGGTATCAGAGATGGCTAAATTGACTCCTTTGATGAAAACAACAACAACACAGCGGGGGTCGAGGGCTAAGTTTTCATGAGTACTTTTTTTTTCAAGTTGAAACCCCTTCTTTCACTTCTTTAATTCTAGGCGGTTGGACCTAAAGATCCTCCAAGGGGGTGGGCTGGGGGGTGGGTAGGGGGGGCAGTCAGGGTTAATTTAAGGTCCAATGTTGTTTTAGGGATGAGTTTTGTTTTTATGTGTGCGTAATTTTGAAAGTGGGTTTTTTGTCGAGGGTACTTGGGTATGGGTTTTGCCTGGAGTGTAGTGCGGTCCCTTCCAACTCTGTCATTCTGTTAAATTCAGCTTCTAAGTGACTTTTATGGCCTCTGATAAATATCTTTTTGGGGTTTTATCTTCCAGCCTATTATTAAATGGTAAATATAGAATCTTTCTTCTGTAAGTAAACTCGTATTCCAAAAATGTTTCCAGGTTGGTTATTTATTTTAAGATGTATATTGCAAGACATCATCAGTGCTCCTTGTCTATAGAAGAAATAGCCCTCCAAATTACAGGAAGTCCTCAACTTACCACTGTTCATTTAGTGACCATTCGAAGTTACAACGTCACTGAAAAAAGTGACATATGTTCGTTTTTCACAGTTACCCCCTTTGCAGCATCCCCATGAGTCTGTGATCAAAATTCAGATGCTTGGCAACTGGTTCATACTTATGACCGTTGCTGTGTCCCAAGGTCATGTCACCTACTTTTGTGACCTTCTGACAAGCAAAGTCAATGGGGAAGCCAGATTCACTTAACAACCAGGTTACTCGCTTATGAACTGGAGTGATTCACTTAATAGCTGTGGCAAGAAAGGTCATAAAATGGGGCAAAATTCCATTAACAAATTTCTCTCTTGACAACAGAAATTTTAGGCTCCATTGTGGTTGTAAGTCGAGCACTACTTGTACTTTTGGTTGGGAAGTTGACATGTGTTTGCCTGTGCCAGATGAAATTGGTGCCTCTCTGTAAGCGGTCAGATTGCAGTCGCTGTCAGGCCACCATTTACATGGAGAGAAATGGCCAGTCTGGGAGTTGCGCTCACCTCTCCAGAGAAAATCGGTTAGAGGGGTTGAATTGCAGAGCTGTATGCAAATGCAGTTTTGTAGATGGAGATGCACAGAGGATAATACTGATAATCTTTCGTATCTTTAAAAAAAGAGTAATAGCATTTGGCACCTAATACCAGTCTGGAATTAAGACGGTAAGTCTTACTGGTGATTAAGTAAGACATCATGTGACCAAACCTATTCTACAACGGTGTTTGCAGCGGTCATTAAATGAAAGCTGCAGTCGTTAAGTGTACCTATTTTTCAGAATGGGCATTTTTTACCAGATATTGGTAGTCAACGCCAGCAAAACATTGTAAGCTGTAGTCACGTGATTGTGGGATGCTGCAAAAAGCTCTGAATGTGATCTGGTTGCTGATTGCCCACAATGCAATTGCATGAGTGCAGATGGGGGAGAGGGCAAACATCAAGCCTTTGAATCCAATCCCTAAATACCTTATATTCTTATTCTTACTAAACGTGAAGCAACACATCTTTTTCAATGGAAAATGTAGTACCAATTAACAAGGTTACTGAGAGGAGAATAACAAAGCACGGTATGCTATGTTGCCATTCACATGATCATTTTTATTTACAGTTTAATGGAAATCACTGGCATGGAAATTGTTCACGTCTGGATAGGACATACACTTTCCTTGCCATTTTAGCTGTCCCATTTGTGTATCTTATATACGGTATTTTGCTAGTGTGTGCAACAATATAGCATGAGTTGCAAGAAATTATTGCCTCTTAGCCAGTGTAACTTGGGTATTCTTCTGTAATATTCCTTCTTCTGGAAGAATGCAAACTTTCTGCCCCCATAGCAGATCTACAGTGCTTTCTGTGCCTCCAATCATGATGTTCCAAGGACAGATCTTCCTGATGTTGCTGAACAAAATTCTCCTTCTTACTAGACAATACACTGGTTGATGTTCAGAAAGTACAGGTAATCCTCCACTTACGACAGTTCACTTAGTGACTATTCAAAGTTACAACGGCACTGTAAAAAGGGACTTATGATCTTGTTTCACACTTACGTCCGTTGCAGTAGCCCCTTAGTCACATGATCGATATTCAGATGCTTGGCAACTGACTCATGTTTATGACTGTAGCAGTGTCCCGGGGTCATGTGATCAACTTTTGAGTCCTTCTGGCAAGCAAAAACAATGGGGAAGCCACATTCTCTTAACAACTGTATTACTATCTTAACAACTGCAGTGATCTGCTTAACAACTGTGGGAAGAAAGGTCGTAAAATGGGGCAAAAGTCACTAAACAAATGTTGTATTTAAAAGATAAATTTGTGGATCAAGTGTGGTAAGTTGAGGACTACTTGCGCGTAGCTGAGGAACCTCTGGAAGTGTCAGGTTTCCATTAATATTGTAAGTGAATACTAATCACTGTATCCCATAGAACGGTGGAAAAAATACGAGAAAACAGACAAAGAAGTTTGCTGAAATTCTGCATTTAATGAAAAGTTTGTTATTCCTAACAAAAGTGTAATGAACCTAGGTTTAAACTAAATTAGCAGATATAAAGAATTTTTTAGTTTTATTCTCAAACAACAAGAACAAAAACAAGAAGATGCACAACAACAACAGGTACAACAAAAAGAATTACAACAATACCATTAACAAGACGCAGGAACTTCCTCGTTGGAAAGTGGCTCCTCGCAGGGCTTCGCCGCTGGGGCTGATTCCGCCATCCGTCTATATGCAGATAGAATACCAGAACAGAATACCAAGAGTTGGAAGGGACCTTGGAGGTCTTCTACTCCAACCCCCTAGTCATGAATGCATTGTTCCCAGCATGGCCTCCATTTGTCTGCTGTTCTCAATTGCCAGCTTCTGGTGCAGCCCATCAAGAAAGGCAAGACTACCTCCTCGTGAGTGAAAGAACCGCCCTTTGCTGCTCCTGCCTTTTCTCTTCCCTAGTTGTTCTCGGATAATGCAGAAAGCAGTTCCTGCTCAAAGCTAACCATCTGCAGCTGCCCGGAAGTTTCAGGGCTCTCCTGCTGCAGCTGTGCTTCAGCCAAATCACTCTCCGCTGGCTGTTCGGAGGCATTGGCCAACTCACCTCCTGATGTGCCTGGGACTGGTTCATCCTCCTCCGATCTGCCTTCTGGAGAGGCATCTGGGGAAGCGTCTGGGGGAGGAATCAAAGGCTATTCTTAGTACCACACTCTTTCTATAACAGTATACAAACTTTGTTCTTTCTGGAGTTACTTTTGATACTTTTTGTGGGGTATCAAAAGTAAGGAGAGGGTTGCCATTTCCTTTTCCAGTGCACCACGTTATGTCAGCACTCTGCACTATGACCTGTCTGACTTGGGTGACCCTGCCCGTCAGAGCTCATTGTTTCCTTGAGCAAGGCATTGATCCACAAAGAGGCTAAAATAGGTACCTCTTTTAATTAGAGACTGAGGTCCAGGGAGTCCTCCTCCAGGCTGCTGACATTGTCCAGCGAGGCTTCCCCTTCTTCGGGAGAATCCTGTGAATGACAATGATGACTTTTTATCCATCAATGAAAGTAGACTCAGAATTTCTAAAAGGGGCCCGATTGATTTGGGATTCCCATCAGAAACAATGCTTCTGTTGCAATCCCCACTCCCACCCACTCTGCCCGTTAAAGCCCTGCCTGGAAACAGCTGGTTGCTGGAGAGGATGATGCAGAAAAATGAAAGGGATAAACAGGGTGGGCCATATCTATTTAGGACCCCAGTCCACTGAATTGGCCCTTCCCTTCTGGTTTGCAGTAAATCAATCGCAACACAGCTTGGGTTCTTCTAGTTAGCCTAAGTACCTTGTCCCAAGGGCCAGGTGTCACCTTTATCCACTGCCCAGAGCTCTCCAGCACAGTTCACTCAGATTAGGAGAACTGAATAGAGGGACTCTATCCCTCCCCAAGAGAAAACACTTTGTCTGTCTTACCCACGGACTGGACGAAAGGCTGGCCTCCGAAGCCTCTGCAGCCTGCTCCCAGCTTCCCTCAGACTCCTCATCCAAGAGGGCAGAAATGGAGTCAAAATCCTCCAGGCTGTTGTTCCGGGAGCCCACCAGGACTTCCATCGAATCCTGCAAATGACAGTATCGAGGATAAATCCTAAGCTTTCTGCATCCCAATAAGATTGCTAAAGGATAGGGTGCATTCAGGCCCTGTGCGCCAACAGCAAGAGAGCCTCCATCGGCCCCATTGCCAAGACTTTCTTACCTCCGAAGTATGCGTCTTCTCCCCAGTAGGAGAGAGCTGCTCCTCCGCCGGCTGGTCTTCTTCGTCCTGAAATAAAAAGGCAAAGATTCTGTCTGTTGGCATCTCCACAGAGACAATGGTTCTTCGTTTAGTGGGGTAGAAGTTGTTTGCGCCTTACCGATTCTCTGCAGGTCTCTGATCTGGGGGGGAGTCGCGGCCTCCAGTGCTCTTCCTTTTCCTCTCTGGGGAGAGAAACGAAGGAGCCAAACATCAAAAACAGCCAGGGGCCCTTTTTAAAAAAGTGGTGACGTGGAGGCTCTAAGAACCCTTCCAGCTGGCCTGCCAAGGAGATTGGCCTTTGATTCTTCCTTTAGCAGAAGCAGAGGCAGAGGTCAGAGATGCCTCCTCTCTGCAAAGGCTTCACCCTCTGAGGTGTTACCTACCTTGATAGGCAGGCACTGCTTTCCTCCTGCACCTCTCTTGGTCGGTATTCTTCCGAAGGATCCTGAAATAACAATGCAAATATTACAAATGTTGGCATATCAACAAATCCACAGCGAAAGGGCTTCTGCCATTGCCATGGTGAGGAGCTGGTCTGGGCTTACCGACTCAGTGCAGGTCTCCCAGATGGTTGAGAGCCGCGGCCTCCACTTCGCTATCTTCTCATTTCTAGGGAGAGAATGAAGGGCCAAAGATCAAAACTAGCCATGCGATGCCCCCCCTGCCTCTGCAAAGGTTTCTTCTAGCCCTTCTCTTTAGGGCTTTACTGCGGCTGCCTTTTAGGGGGGTTCAGAATACTTAATCTGCGAACACCTACCTCACTGAAATGAGAACTGGCATCACCTCTTCCTTCCTGGGGCTCCGGGCGGTGGCACGAACACCCATCAAACCCTGCAAGTAACAATGGAAAGTATAAATTAAAAGTCCCCTGCATGTTGTGGAACGTTTATCTTCCCCAGGAGGGAAAGACTGCATTCAACAGGGAAAGACAAAGCAGATCATGGAAGATTTGGCTGATAGGAAGCCATCAAGAACTTTCCATGAATCCAACAGGCTCCTCTTGCTTTTGCTAGGCTGGCCAGGTTCCCCCAAGTGAGAATTCCTCCCTTTCCCCATCCGGTTATGAGGGATGAGCCCTGACTGGCCATGTCGCAGAAGCATCCTTACCCCTTGGGAGGAAGGCCTGCGTCCATCGGACACACGAATCTGTGTCCACCATTCTCCCTTCTGGTCCGCCTGTTCATGTGCCTCGTCAGTTCTGACCGAAAGAACAAGATGACATGTCAAAAAATATCCATCTAGCTCTGCCTCTCCTTTCTAAGACCAGCCAGCCAGTCAGCCTTCCCATCTTTTGGCCTCTGCAAGCCGCTGGCCGAGAGAAAGCCATCTTGGGGAGAGGCTGTTAGAGACCCTGCAGTCCATCAGTGGTGCCCCACCATGCCCAGGGTTTGAGGAGAAGGGGGTGGTACCTGTCAGGAGGCACAGGAAGGTCCTCTACGTCGCTCTTCCTGCAGCAGAAGAGCGCCGAACATCTTTTCCAGATGTTCTGTGAAGAAAAGAGAAATAGAGATGAGCCAGTCGGAAGAGTTGCGAAGCATGACTTTCTCCCCTACTACTGCCAGTTTCTTGGCAGCTGAGACGGCCACACTTACTCTAAAAAACCTCCGTACAGCCATGACCCCAAGCAGCTGTTTGTCCTTTCACTGCACGAAGGGAGAATGGGCAGTTGGGCCCTGGTTGGTGGCTTTTCAGGGAAACTGACAACCTCGTTGCCTCGGCAACTAGGTAAACAAGGGCCACATTCTAAACCTACCCCAGGAGGGCAGCTCACCTGGGTTTAGCAGTGTCTGGGCGGCCCGGTGGCTGACTCCTTTGGTGGCCTTTGGCCTCTTCCTTTCATGTGGGAACAGGAACAACAGAGAAGCACCATCATTGTGGCACAAAGCACAGAAGGAATCATACAATCCTAGGGTGTGGCTTTTAGACCAACCCCCTGCCCAAGGAAGGGCTCCTCACACAGGGTCTCCAGGGAGGGGAGGGGACCTAGTGCACTCTCCCCTCGGGGCTGCGGAGGCTCTGATCATGTGCAGGGCTCGCGCTCCCCTTTCAGCTCCTCCCAAGCTGGACGTGTGCCAGTGGATGCCCCGCTTGACTGGGACATGGCTCCAATAAGGCTGGCCAGATGTGCATCACCTCCTCCCATGCCCTGGCTCAGGAAGGCCCAGGGCAGCCCCTCCTCTCCCCTTACAGATCTAACCGCTCTGAGGGTTTTCCCTAATAAAATACTATTATTTAATCGTTATAGGTAGTCCTCGATTTATGACTGCTTGCCTAATGACCATTTGAAATTATGAAGAACTGACCCAGAACTACTTATGACTTATTTTAATCATTATGGTGTCCGCATATCCCCACCTCCATGATCACATGATCCCATTTTGGATTCTTGGCACCTGATTACCTTTAGAACTGTTTGCAGCGCCCCAGCGAACACTTAATGACTTCAGCATTCGCTTAACGACTACAGCATTTGCTTAACAACTACTCTAAAAATGTTGAAAATTTGGGTCCAGTCACATGATGCCTCGACTTGTGACTGCAGCAACTTACCACTGTAATTCAGGGCTCAATTTCAGTCTTACGTTGAGGACAACCATTACTGGTAATGTGACTTCAGGCTCGAAGAGAAAAAAGTTAGAGATTTTTAATGACCAGGAGAGAGACTCTGTTCTTAAATCTCTTCTAAATAAATTTTGAAGCATTCGCTGCCCTAATAAATGGCGACGTTTCTTCTTTCTTCAGGAATGAGCTTGCTAGTAGCAAATATATTCTTTTTTCAATTTCCAAATATTATAAACTAGAAACAAAAACAAAAAATAAAGCCCAGGTTCAAAGTACCCAGCTTCACAACTTGTACTTCAGTTATAGTGAAATATTAAACCACATGCTTCACGGAAACAGAACAAATTTTTATTTTTTTTCATGTTTGCAGGTTTACTTCCGAAACATCTATTGTTTCACACAGTTTTTTTTTTCTTCCTCCAATGGGAGGATTCCAATTTATTTTCATATTTTAAATGCTGTCCTTGTATCCTCTTTGAGTTTATAAATATATCTAACTTTGATATGATGCCACAAACAGGAACAAACGTAGTTAACGTCATGACTGTCTTTCTGAAGCATAGACTTCAGAGTTGTGAAGTGATTAGAGAAATTTCAATGGAAGGTAGAGGAAAACTATTGGAAGCAGGATCAAGTACACATATTGCAGGTAGTCTTCAATTTACAACAGATCATTTAGTGACCGTTGAAAGTTACAGCCCTGAAAAAAGTGATTTATGACGGTTTTTCACACTTATGACCTTATTAGTAGTCCCAGGATCATGTGATCAAAATTCAAATGTTTTCCAATTTGATAATAGTAATAGTAAATTATATCCACAGCATTCCTCTGGTCCACTAATTTTGTCATTTGTTCATACTTATGACTGTTGCTATGTCCGGAGGTCATGCGATCGCCTTTTGCAACAGTTTGAAAATCAAAATCCTTACAGAAGCCAGATTCACTTAACAACCCTGTTACTAACTTAACAACTTGATTCACTTAACAGCTGGGGCAAGAAAGATTGTAAATGTATAAACATAAACATGAATATAAACTAAGTGGAGGAACTCAGTGTTACTGTCCTTTGATTGATGAATCCAAGATCCAATCACCACTCACTGAATTTCTGGACAACAGAAATGGCCTCCTCCTTTCCCAACCCAGGGCCTAAAAATCCGTCCTGAGCTGAGGAAGGTCTTTAGTCCCTGCGGTTTGTTCTATTTTAGTCACCCCTCGGGCTGAGACAGGTAATATTGTCAATTGTTTCCACACTTTTTTGCAGTGAAGACAATTGTGGGCAAATACAAAATTCCATAAATAACTATAAATAGGATGATGGTGGTGATAAATACCAGGGCAAACAAGGCAAGGCAACAGGAAGGAATGGTTACACTGGATATTTCCCATTTGGGAGCAAATCTTTAAATCTCTGTTCCAATTTCCCTCTCTCTCTGTGTGTCTTTCTCTCTCTCTCTCTCTCTCTCTCCCTCTCTCTCTGTTTGTGTGTGTTTATTTGTTTAGTATGTGGCATATCATACCTAGATTTGCAATATATATTAACATTTCATCTAGACTAATAAAACAATATAATATAAATTTGAGAAATATCTATGTTGTAAACCAATGTCTAGGCCATGGATAGGCAACCTTGGCTCTTTTATGACTCGTGGATTTCAACTCCCAGAATTCCTGAGCCAGCATGGCTCAGATTGGAAACCTCTCCATTTCTCCTCAGCAGGGCTGGCTCAGGAATTCTGGCAGTTGGAGTCCACGAGTCAAAAAAGAGCCAAGGTTTCCTACCCCTGGTCTAGGCCCTCTAACCCTTGAAGCGAAGCATCATGTATATTTTAAAATGAGATACTGTATATGCCCTCAGTTTACAGTGGGGCATGATGTGATGTACAATTTGAGGTGGGATCCTCAGTTTGTGTGTGTTTCAACACCTGTTTGCTGTTTCTGAGACCTAATGCTAATTGTTGTTTAAATTGTCCTGGCCCAGAATTGTTCCTCATCCTGTTAGTTCCCTTTCTTTTCTGCTTCGCTGGCAGAATGTAATGGCTGGTCTTTACATTTTCTTCAGCTGTCAGGCCAAACCTTTACATTTATTATTTAACCTTATGTCAAGATTGAGCTAGACTAGTACAGGTAGTCCTCAACCTCCTACTGTTCACTTAGTGACCGTTTAAAGTTATGACAACAGCAAAAAAGTGACTTATGATCATTTTTCACACTTATAGTGTGACGTGATCAAACATTAGATCCTTGGCATACTTATGTTCATACTTATGACTCTTGCTGTGTCCTAAGGTCACGTGTTCACCTTTTGCAACAGTTTGAAAAGCAAAATCAATGCAGAAGCCAGATTCACTTAACCTCCATGTAACAACTGGATAACCCAGTATAATTTTGCAGGGTTCTTCGTTTCCTCTCAATACACTCTACTAAAACAACGGCTTTGTAAAGGTGGGAAAGAGCTATAGCCATTCGCACTTCTTTAATTTATCTCAACATGACATCTTAGATTCTCTTTTTTATCATGCCTTTCTCTGTTTTGTAGGATATTATGGTAAAACAGTAGCTGCTCAGTCATCGTATGTAGTGGCCTTAGCAAACGAGTGGACTTTATGAGAAGAATCGTGGAAATGGCAAGTAGCGGGTTTTCCATAGTTGTTAGTGACAGACCTATTGCATTCTGGCCCTTGTTGTTGTTATCACATGGCAATAACATCGGGGAATGCACTGATTGAAATAACAGCTCTGGTGTCTCTTAAAAATCAAACTTTTCTTCTGCATTTATGCATTCTTTGCCTCCTAGGACTTCTGATAAAGGAGGATTCGGTCTTCTGTTATTGTATTTCATTTTGACAACCCATCCTTACTATACAATATTTGTGTAGCTCGGTTACTGTGGTCAGCGGCCTAGAGGAGTGCTTGAGTGGCATTGGGATGTGGGGAACTTGGAAAATGCTGAAAAGTTGGGAGTTATCTCTAGATAATCAATAAAGCTTTTTCTATTTCAATATATATAGGTACCCATTTGCAGTAAATAATAATTAACATTAATCATTGCAATATTGTCGGCATCATCAACGACCAAAATACGCATCACACCAGAGGCAACTCGTGTCTACATTCACAGCCCCCTGAAAAACATCCTGGCCCAAGGGAGCTTTTATCATTTACGGTGGACATGTGATAAAGTAAAGAAATATTGGAGTAGGATTTCTATTCTAATACAGAAAATTCTGAAAGTGAATATAAAGGTAAAAGCAGAAACTGTTCTTTTTGGCTTAATGGAAAAAAGACTTGGAAACAATGATGGAACTTCAATGTTATATACGTTGATGGTAGCCAGACTACTTTATGTACAAAAAGGGAAGGACATTTCGATCTCCACACTGGAGGAATGGTTGCAAAAGTTGATGGAGGTAGCAGAGATGGCTAAATTGACTCCTTTGATGAAAACAACAACAACACATGAGTACTTTTTTTTCAACTTGGAAACCCCTTCTTCACTTCTGGAATTCTAGGAGGTTGGACTAAAAGATCTCCAAGGTCCTTTCCAACTCTGTCATTCTGTTAAATTCAGCTTCTAAGTGACTTTTATGGCCTCTGATAAATATCTTTTTGGGGTTTTATCTTCCAGCCTATTATTAAATGGTAAATATAGAATCTTTCTTATGTAAGTAAACTCGTATTCCAAAAATGTTTCCAGGTTGGTTATTTATTTTAAGATGTATATTGCAAGACATCATCAGTGCTCCTTGTCTATAGAAGAAATAGCCCTCCAAATTACAGGAAGTCCTCAACTTACCACTGTTCATTTAGTGACCATTCGAAGTTACAATGTCACTGAAAAAAGTGACATATGTTCGTTTTTCACAGTTACCCCCTTTGCAGCATCCCCATGATTCTGTGATCAAAATTCAGATGCTTGGCAACTGGTTCATACTTATGACCGTTGCTGTGTCCCAAGGTCATGTCACCTCCTTTTGTGACCTTCTGACAAGCAAAGTCAATGGGGAAGCCAGATTCACTTAACAACCAGGTTACTCGCTTATGAACTGGAGTGATTCACTTAATAACTGTGGCAAGAAAGGTCATAAAATGGGGCAAAATTCCATTAACAAATGTCTCTCTTGACAACAGAAATTTTAGGCTCCATTGTGGTTGTAAGTCGAGCACTACTGGTACTTTTGGTTGGGAAGTTGACATGTGTTTGCCTGTGCCAGATGAAATTGGTGCCTCTCTGTAAGCGGTCAGATTGCAGTCGCTGTCCAGCCACCATTTTATAATAATAATAATAATATAATAGTAATAGTAGTAAAGTTGGAAGGGACCTTGGAGGTCATCTAGTCCAACGCCCTGCTCAGGCAGGAAACCCTACACCATTTCGGACAAATGGCTGTCCAGTCTCTTCTTAAAAACTTCCAGTGTTGGAGCATTTACTGCTTCTGGAGGCAGGCTGTTCCACTTATTAATTGTTCTCACTGTCAGGAAGTTTCTCCTTAGTTCTAGGTTGCTTCTCTCCTTGATTAGGTTCCACCCGTTGCTTCTTGTCCTGCCTTCAGGTGCTTTGGAAAATAGCTTAATTCCCTCTTCTTTATGGCAGCCCCTGAGATATTGGAATACTGCTATCATGTCCCCCCTTGTCCTTCTCTTCGTTAAACTAGACATACCCAATTCTCGCAAACGTTCCTTATATGTTTTAGCCTCCAGTCCCCTAATCATCTTTGTTGCTCTTCTCTGTACTCTTTCTAGAGTCTCAACATCTTTTTACATCGTGGTGACCAAAACTGGATGCAGTATTCCAAGTGTGGCCTTACCAAGGCATTGAAGAGTGGTATTAATACTTCACGTGATCTTGATTCTATCCCTCTGGTAATGCAGCCTAGCACTGTGTTGGCCTTTTTGGCAGCTGCAGCACACTGCTGGCTCATATTTAGGTGATTGTCTACTAGGACTCCGAGGTCCCTCTCACAGTTACTACTATTGAGCATGGTGCCACCTATGCTGTACTTGTGCATTTGGTTTTTCTTGCTTAAATGTAGAACCTTGCTTTTTTCACCATTGAATTTCATTTTGTTAGTTAGTGCCCAGTGTTCAAGTCTGTCCAGATCCTTCTGTATCTTAAGCCTGTCTTCTGAGTGTTGGCTATTCCTGCCAGCTTGGTGTCATCTGCAAATTTGATGAGTTCCCCATCTATCCCTTCATCCAAATTGTTGATGAAGATGTTGAAGAGTACTGGGCCCAGAACAGAGCCCTGTGGCACCCCACTACACACTTCCCTCCATATAGATGCAGTTCCATTGAGGACCACTCGCTGAGTACGGCCGGTCAGCCAGCTACGGATCCATCTGGTGGTGTTTCTGTCTACCCCACATTTTTCTATCTTATCAAGTAGTAGGTTGTGATCTACTTTATCAAATGCCTTACTGAAGTCCAAGTAAATTATGTCCACAGCATTCTTCTGATCCACTAATTTTGTCACTTGGTCAAAGAATGCAATAAGATTTGTCTGGCCAGATCTATTTTTGACAACCCATTTGGCTTTTAGTAAATGAACTTTGGTTTGCCTCTTAGGTGTTCGTTGATTCGTTGTTTGAAATTATTCTTTTCCAGGATCTTCCCGGTATTGATTCAGGCTGATAGGTCTGTATTTCCGGATCCTTTTTTTTCCTTTTTTGAGGATGTAACTACATCACTCTTTTCAGTCCTCTGCTAGTTCCCCTGGGTCCAGGATCTTTGAAAAATATGTTTCAGTGGCTCCGATATCACATCTGCAGTTTCCTTGAGAACTCTGGGTGTAATTCCATCTGGGTCGCACTGGCGATTTGAACTCATTCTAGGCTGGACAGGTGCTCACTAACCATTTTCTTGCCTATCTTAACTTGTGTTTCTATTTTGTTTTTTATGGCACTATTTTTGATAGGTTGGTCTGTTTTTTCCTTTGTGTAAAGACAGATGCAAAAAATGAGTTAAATAGTTCTGCTTTCTCCCTGTTGCTTGTCACCTTCTTGCCACTTCCACCCACTAATGGACCAATCATTTCCTTCACTTTTTTCTTGTTTTTTACATGTTGAAAGAAGCCTTTTTTGTTATTTTTGACTTTGGTCGCAAGCCTTAGTTCATTTTGAGCCTTGGCTTTCTTCACTTCATCTTTGCAGCTCGGGCTATTTGCTGATATTCTGACTTAGTTATGTTCCCCTCTTTCCACTTTCTATACTTGTCCTTTTTATTTTTCAATTTGTCAGAGATTTCTTTATGCAGCCATGCTGGTTTCTTTTGAGAGCTGTTATTTTTCCTCTTTGTTGGTATTGTGCTAGACTGTGCTTTTATTATCTCATTTTTCAAAATTTCCCAATCTTCTTGAGTTGTTTTCCCCTTGAGGATTCTCATCCATGGAATCCTTCCCAAGCCCTCTCTAAGTTTATTGAAATTAGCTCTCTTGAAGTCCAAGACTCTAGTTTGACTGTGTTCTATTGGTTGTGCTTCTTAATGTTTTGAATTCTAATAGTGCATGATCACTTCCTCCCAGGGTTTCTATGGCTTCAACACCTTCTATCATTTCATCTCTGTTATTGAGAATTAGATCCAAAATGGCTAATCCCCTAGTTCCCTTCTCTACTTTTTGGGAGACAAAGTTGTCTGCTAGGTTTTCCAGGAACCTGTTTGATCTTCCACTTGGTTCGGAGTTTGTCTCCCAGTTGATGTCAGGGTAGTTAAAGTCCCCCATTACTATTGTGATGTGCTTCCTACATACCTTAGTTAGCTGACTAGCAAAAAGTTCATCTATTTCCTCTGTTTGGTTGGGTGGTCTGTAGTATACACCTCTGGCAATGTCATTCCCCCCCCCTTTTATATTGACCCAAATGCATTCAAGACAGTTTTTATCATTGTTGTACTCTATTTCTGTGAAGATGTAGTTATTTCCTATATAGAGAGCAACTCCACCTCCTCTCTTATTCGGTCTGTTTCTTTTAAATAATTTAAATCCCTCTAGCTGTGTGTTCCATGTGTGAGTTTCATCCCACCATGTTTCCGTAATGGCAACAATATCGTATCTGCCCTCATTAACCTGAATTTCTAGTTCACCCTGTTTGCTGTTCATACTTTGTGCATTGGTGTATAAACATTTGAGTCCTTTGTGGGTGGCCCTGTGTTTCCTTTCTACATATATACAGAATATAGCATGATTTATCATTCTTAAAAGACTCCTGTATTGAGAAGTAAATATCTTGCTCATCCATTTTTAATACTTATATCTAATGGCCGTTGATTTGCTTGTCTGTTTATATGTTTATTTTATAGTATTTATATGCTGCTCCTATCCCAAAAGCATCTAGGCAATAGAAAATGTCACGAAAAGAAAACAAAAACTTTAATAAGAATTTTTCTTAACTATTAATCCTTGTTAGTTCTTATTTCTTTATTTTAAAATCTAATAAAGTTGGTTAAAAAAAAGTTCACACCAGATACACCAACACAGCGTCCCCTGTTTATATAGTGTCCAGGTAGATTGAAATTGCAACCGCTGTATTCTGTTTCAGAATAAACCACTGAACGACCTCCTGCCTTTGAGAAGGAATTTTGCATATTTAGTTCTCTAGCCAGTTGTTGTTAGATGAATGTTCCTGTTTCCTTTCCTCAGAAGGCCTATATCTTCACATTCCTGCTGAGCTCAAGACTGTTCATTGAACCACATGAACTTCTCTCCCGTGTTTGTCACAAGTGCATTGAGCAGCAGCAACTGGATGACCCAGTGCTGGATAAGGTTGGTACGTTTGATGATTGCAGATACTAGGATGAGTAAGGGTAGCATTCACAGTATGACAACAGGATTACAATATAACAAGAACCATGGTGGCGCAGTGGTTAGAATGCAGTGCAGCAGGCTAACTCATTGCTCGCTACAAGGAGTTAGATTCTACTGCCTCAAGGTTGACTCAGCCTTCCATCTTCCGAGGTCGGTAAAATGAGGACTCAGATTGTTGAGGGCAATATGCTGACTACGTAAAATGCTTAGAGAGGGCTGTAAAGCATTATGAAGCAGTATATAAGTCTAAGTGCTATTGCTATTACAGTGCATTTGGAGAAAACTTCCAATTGTACCTTATTTCCCTTGCTACATATGTCCCTTTGTCCCCATGGAGAGTTTTGTGATCCTAAGGGTGCCCAGATAAATGCATTTGGGAATGGTTTGGCTGCAGTTGTCTGATACAGATGTGGAGAACCAGAGCCACACGGAGCCTTTTTTTTTTCCCCTGTAGTTGTTGGAGCCCCCTTTGACTGTAATTGCTGAAAATTACTGCACTGTTTCTTGTCGTTTTAATAATGGAAATGCAAACAATATAATAATGTAAGCCCTCAAGTAGGTTTAATGTATTTAAAGCAAATTCAACCCAAAATTCTGCTTCCCAAATCTCAGGAAAAACAAGCAGAAATTCCTGCCCCAATAGGTGTAGTGCTGTCCTGATGATTTTGCTTGGTCACCCTGCTCTGTACAGCCCTCATGCTCTCCTCAAAAGTAAAGCCTGGTTCTAATGGAGTGCAGAAGGCCTGTGTTGAAATTGTCCCATTTGCTTGCTCTCTTTGACTAAAATACCCTTCTAGCATTTTCAGCAATAAGGTACGGGTAGTGCTCAACCTACAACCATTCATTTAGTGACCATTCAAAATTACAACCACATCGAAAAAAAGTGACTTATGACTGTTTTTACACTTACGACTGTTGCAGCATCCCCAAGGCCACATGATCAAGATCTAGACACTTGGCGATTGGCATTTATTTATGACCGTTGCAGTGTCCCGGGATCATATGATCGCCTTTTTTGAGCTTCTGACAAGCATAGTCAGATGGGGAAGCCAGATTCACGTTACAGCCATGTTACTAACTTAACAACTGCAATGATTCACTTAATATCTGTGGCAGGAAAGATCATAAAACGGGGCAAGCCCCACTTAAACAACTGCTTAGCCATAGAAATTTGGGGCTTAATTGTGGGTTGTAAGTAGAGGACTACTGGTAATTGTTCCTTGTCTCATTCTGAAAAACACAGTGCAACTATTCCAGATTTATTTCTCTGCATATGCTGAGCTTGTCTACAAGAGCTAATGGGGTGCTTGTAAAACATTGGGAGGAATTGCTGTGTTGCCTCCTGCTGCAAAAGTAACAATCTCTCTTGCAGAATTTTAAAGACAAATGCATGCCTTACAAGAAAGGGCACCATGGACCGCCTTCACTTTATGTAGCTAAAGAAGTGGGTCCACGCAGCAGTATTTGAAATACCAGAGGACTTAACTGCTCTTTGAAATTATAGTTACAGACATTTCTCCTCCTGCCACTCTATTTCAGGGTTAGGGGTACTTTGTTAGCAGAAACATTTCTTTATAAAGCTGCATGCAATGGGTTAGCAGATTATGCATTCCCATTTGGCAATTCTGCCCCTGAAAATAAGAATTGATATAAAGAGTGGTAGTAAATCTTGTACGCTGAACCTACAAATCTTATAATAATTGTTCATATTTAGACTCGCTGTATTGTTAAATTCCTGAGAAAAATGTTAACAGCAGATCTTCAAGAATCACTTATTGTTAACATTTTATTGATCTTTATTATTAATTTATTAACAGTCTCCACTTTTTCTGTCTTATGCAGACATACAAACCTGTACATATAATCTTGGAACAGAATAAATGAAATATATAAATAGCTAAAATGACTGCATTGTTGCACACCTGTAAAGACGTTAAATCCCTATGTCTTGCGACACAGACCAAGCTGCTGTATTCAGATGGTAGAAAATTTTATTTTCAGCAGCTGGGATCCCCAAGAGAGGGAGAAGATTCAGCTCTCTTCTAAGCAAGATGCAGCAGGATAATAACAATTGCAAAAATAGACTAGTTGCTAAATTGTTTTTCTGTTAAAGTCAGTGGCAAAATATGTAAATGTGTACTGCAGGGGTACATGATTTGCAGTGATGCTTTCCAAAGGAAGGTGTAAAGACCCATTGTAGCTTTTGGGCGTGTGTTGAATTACCTTGTTCAGAGTATGGTAAGAAACAAGTGTTTCACTATGATAGGAGTTTTCCATGATTGTTCTCTGTATACTAAAGAATTTTTTTCATCTGCCCTGGATTAGCAATACAGGTAGTCCTCAACTTGCAGCAGTTTGCTTAGTGACTCTTCTAAGTTACAACGGCACTGAAAAAAGTGACTTTTGACCATTTTTCACATTTGCAACCGTTGCAACATCCCCATGGTCATGTGATTTACATTCGGATGCTTGACAACTGGTTCACATTTATGACTGTTGCAAGGTCCTGGGTCATGTGAACACCTTTTGCAACCTTCTGACAAGCTAAGTCAATGGGAAAATCAGATCCATTTAACAGCTGCCGTGATTCACTTAACAAATGTGGCAAGAAAAGTTGTAAAATGAGGCAAAACTCACTTAACAAATTTCTCACTTAGCAACATGAATTTTGGATCAGTTGTCATAAGTTGAGGACTACTGTATTTTATAGGCACCTTGAGCAAAGTGGGAGAGAGAATGCACCCTATTTCCTTGACCTTTTCAAAAGTCTTTAACTGCTATATTATGTCCAGTGATAGTTCCCTCGAAACCTATTTTGGCCAAATACTAAAATAGCTCTACTGACCAGTTTTGCGGAAAAGGCAGGAAGCTTCAATACATACAATATAATTTTGTTTGATTAAAGGGTACCTTTCATTTGGAGGCCAAAGCAAGGAAAATTTCTGTCTCATCTAGAGTTTCTATTATTGTAATGGGCATGTGTGCTGTTTCAAAGGGAACTTGCTGAAATGACTCCTAAAAATATTTTGGAAGTGACAGGGCATCATGCATAATCACAAACAAATGTATTAAAAACAAAGACTAGGAAAAAGACTAAATTGATTTACAGCAGCGAGTTGTTGGATTCAAACTAAACCTTTCCAGGCTAACCGGTAGCTGTGCAATGTGAACGGACAACTATTAGGTATAGCCAAAGAAGCAATGGTTGAGAAATGTCCTTTTTGATAAATCCAACACAAAAAATATATATGCAGATTTAAATAAAAAAGGTAGATTTTTTTTTAAAAAAACCAATGGATTAATGGAAAAATGAACTGAAATGTAATTATAAATTACTACAAAATTAACCCAGACAGGAAGTTGAATGATTCACTCATCCCTACCTAATCTAAGGAGATTTATCATCCATGTTAAGTTTATTGCACATATGTAAGCTTCCCAGGTATCCTGCAAATGCTTTAATTTTAAATTAAGGTCATTTTCTCTCTCTTTATCTGTTGATGTACTTCCCTTAATTTTTCATCTTTCATTCCTTAACCTCTATTTTAGGCACGAATCAGAAAATTTGGGCCCAAGATCTTACAGTTATTAACAGAATGGACGGAAACCTTTCCTTATGATTTTCAGGAAGAAAAGATGATTGGATGTTTGAAAGACATTATCCACCGGATAGCTCCATGTGATGAGGTGAGGGTGATCACAGGTAGGGATATGCTGGGAATTTATATAACCAAGAGGTGGTGGGTGCTGGATGGATGGATGATGTGGTGGGTGGTGATGATGGGGTGTTGTTACCTGTATGCTACTCCAAAATTTAATAATATTATTCTGAACAAGCGATTTATATAGGGATGGTCAGACCTTTTCATGTTATTTCCAAAAGTATTTTATGACAGATGCCTATAAAAAAGGCAACTGCCCTATCCTTGCTGACAACTGAAAAGTTTGCACTGGCTGGAGAATTTCACAAACGGCGATGCAGATTTGTTGTAAAAGCAAAATGCTGGGTCAAAGGGAATTTGGGTCCTAGCGAACTCATTCTTTGACCTTTGATTTTAAACATTCCTCATCTGATTTTGCAGTTTGGGGAAAATAAAACAGAAATAAGGTCTTTTCTGTTTTCCAATAGAATAATCATATTCATAAGAAAATAAATCAATAAAATAAAATAATAAAACATGGACACAGTAGAATTGATACGACCATTTTATAGAAAGAGGCATTTAGAACATACGCAAGGAAGATAGTACAATCTAGAAAATGAATTTTACATTTCAGAATGAAAACCTTAAGGAAAGATGTAATTTCTAGCTTGAAAAAGCTGTATGTTTATTACAGTTTGGATGGTGTAAACTTGTTTGTATCACAAAGTAATAGAACTAATGAAATTAAAATTTTTGCACAATGAAAACGAAAATTGGGAGGGACCTTGACATGTTGGACAAACATCTTATGGGCAGGCTATGATTTCAGGGTGTCATTTTAGAGGTGTAACATATCGGCCCCTTTTTAGGTTTTTGATGTGCTGAACTTAAAGCAGAACCCTCTTTTTTTTCCTGCCAGGAATGTGAAACCATGCTGTCATTTCTCAGTATTCATTGCCAAAACAAGCAGTTGACTTCTGAGATCTATAGGGCACAACAAAGGAGATAGATGGGTTGCATATTGCTTTAGGGCCATTTCCTCCTTAGATAAATTAGTTTCAAATTCCTTTCCCCTCCAGTGATTTCATCCTTTCAGTCTGCAGTAGTTATCTTCCTTTTTGCCAGATCGTTCATGTTTAATTCTACTATCAGGCCATAGCCTTCATTTTCATTTGTAGTGTTCTATAACAAAGCCTGATTGTGGAACTTGAATACGGAAAAGTGGAAACAGACATAGATGCATAGGCACATAGGTGCATCTTATCTATGACTGACGGACTGATACTACCACAATTGCAAAAATTGCAAAACCAATTGTGAGAACCTTATCCTGTAGTTAATTATCAGTTTAAACTATAAACAGCTAGAAACTGAAGTGGTTTAATCAGGCAACATCCAGTCCATTATATCAAGGATGGTCACTTGGAAATGTGGGTAGAATAAATCTTTGGTCCCAGTGACTGACTCACATTGGATCCTGCAATATGATCCTGGGGCATGTATATTTATCTTCATTTGCGAATATAAGTAGTTTCTACATCATAGAAATTAATAGTTTACTGCATAAGTCAGACCGGCTTTGTGTCCAGTTTGAGGCAGAGAAGAGTAGTAAGGATGATCAAAAGAGCAGGAGTCATATCTTACCAAGATAGATAAAAGAAATTAAATATGATTAGTCTTGAGAAAAGACATCTTGAGCTGAAAGAAAGTGATTGGGCAAAGTCATTTTTCTAACTTTCATATCTAAAGAAGGACTACAGCCTGGATCATTCTGCTCTTAGTACAGTACTTTGACCATTATATTACATGATTCTCTATAGCAATATATAAGCTTATTTTATGTCAGGTTCCAAAACATAAACAGACTGTGATTCTTCCAAGCAGATTTCTTTACTGTCCCTCACCTATAGATAGTAATCCTGCCAAATTAAAGCAAACTGCCCCCTCATAAAGCATATACTCCAGGAACTATTAGGGAGGAGCTGTCTTTACCCTCTTTCTCTCACATAAACTATCTGTAGTGAATTGTCTCTTGCTGCTCTAGAACAGGGGTCCACAACCAATGGTCTGTGGCCTGGTACCGGGCCGTGGCCTGTTGGCTACTGGGTCCCAGGAATAGCTGGCAAGCCCCATCCCATTTGCGGTAGCACCGTCGCGCAGGTCTTAACAGCCCGATTTGCGCATGCGCAGGGACACTAGCACTGCCACCAGCTTCATATGGGCACCAGCCGCCCATTTGTGCATGCATGTGCATGCACCAGCACGCATGCCATGGGTGCGCATGGCCCATTTGCACATGTGCAGACATTAGCCTGCACGCCATGGGTGCACACAGCCCACTTGTGCATGCACACGCATGCTAGCACTGCCATTGTGCGAGCATCCATTTGCACATGTGTGCGTGGAGCCGCATGTGCGCACATTTCCTTGCTGCTCCCTTTCCTTCCAGGCTGCCAAGCTGGAAAGGTTGGGGAACTCTGCTCTAGAATGCACCCCCTCCCGCCGGGGAATCCAGACTACATTCCTTCACAGATTTATATCAGTAAGGAACTAAGTACTTAATTAAATTCTTTTCTCCATCCTTATGGCTAGCAGCCTTATTCATATTCAACTTGTATCTTTCTTTAGCCCAGCTGGTGTAATTGCAATGTTTTCTATTTTTTTATTTATGTATTTCAAGAGATAGAAGGCTGCTCAACTCAGACAGTGAGACTCTGGGTGTTTTACAACAACAACAACAATAATAATAATAATAATAGAGTTGGAAAGGACCTTGGAGGTCTTCTAGTCCAACCCCCTGCTCAGGCAGGAAACCCTATACCATTTCAGACAAATGGTTGTCCAATCTCTTCTTTAAAACTTCCAGTGTTGGAGCATTCACAACTTCTAGAAGCAGGTTTTTCATACATAACATCAACTACCAAACAACCAATATATAAATACAAAATCTAAATATTGGGATGAACTGCCCTAATCAGTGTTAGAACTGATCCCCAACTGAACCACCTTTTATATACCTGGCAATAGCATTAGGATGCAATGCAATGTGTTCACTCACCTATTTCTATCACAGTTATTTTCATAAATGATTGCTTTCATCTCATCCATCTGGCCCACTTACCTAGTGATTTTCTGACAGCAGGAATGAGATGGAGAATAGGTATAGATAGTTATCGCTTTTGAGGTTTGACATTCTTTTATGTTTGACACATGTTGATTCAGAAAGAACAGATAGGAAAGAAAGAACAAAAGAAACCGTGATGAAAAGGCCGAGCTTTGTATTGCAACTCCTCAATCTCTTCGGTGTAACCATAGGAACATGCATAAAGCAAGCATGATTGTCTAGTTTTGGGGCTGCAGATATGGGTCTAGGATGATTGGCATTGCTAAACAGATTTGTCTGACATTAATGGGGCCAACATTGGGGGGAGACAGAAAGAAAGAAATACAGAGACTTTGATTATTAAGAACTAAATGAGATGGGCTCCTCTGAATCCTTGATAGGACCATTTTTAAAAAAACAGACTATACATCGCTGTGTTTTTGCATTTGTTTGTATTATAACCCTGGAAATTGAGCGATTTATACTTCACTCATTGGGTGAATGAAAGCTGAAAGAGAGTGACTAGAATGAAACATATCAAATTTATCTCATGTCCTTTCATGGATTACACCTTCTATTCCTGCTGTTTTTCAGACAAAAAACAGGCAGGGCTTCCTTCTTAAGTACATTTAACTCTGTTTTTCTTCTCACTTTGTCAGGCTTATGGCAAGGAGGACCTTCTTTAATGCTTTCATTCTGGATCCTTTTTTCTATTATTATATCCTAAATATATGCTGTTTCTTGTCCCAATCTATGTAATTATCTGCTTTTCATGATTTTACCTTTTTCTACCCAACCTTCCTCGTCCAATGGCATTTTAGAAGGATTATGAAATCCTAACATTTATTTTTGGTTTATTTAATTATTGTTTACTCTGCCACCAATAGAGGTGTTTGCATTCAGGTTTATTAAATTCTGATTTCCAATCCTGCTGAGTAAGATAAAAACATGTTAGTTTTCTGCTTTGGATAAAATGACAACCTTTGATTTATATCAAAGTAGGAGCTATGGGAGGTGATCCCCACATGTGAGAGAAGGAATAGAAAATAACATTTTAATAACCAGTAGCAGCAATAACAGAGAGTACATTTTTAAAAAGTAAATTAGGTTAGTACAGAAGTCTTTTATGGCACATATGTACATATACTCATACATGCGTATGCATACACATATTCCTAAAGTTGAGTTCCTTAGAAAAACTATTTACCCTATGGGTTTTGGGGGGATCAGGCCAGATATAGAGGCCAGCCATTAAACAGGATATGTCAATCTGAACAAAGAAAGGATGCAAGCATAATTATGAGAGTTCAAAGGAAGCAAAATACAAATGCTGCCAACATTTTATTTGCTGGGAGTTATTTAAGCAGAAAAAAACCCAGATAAAATAAGAACTCTATAACATCTAGCAAAACCAAAACAACACCTATATACATGGCCATCTCCAGACAGAATACACAGAAATGGAATTAAGTATACTGATACTGATACAAGGAGATGGAAGAACTCAGTTCAAATAATAAAGGGCTGTAGAACAGGTCACAAACCACTCAGATTCAATTTCCAAGCCAAGTTAAAGATGGAAAAGTAAACCAACTGGTTTCACGCTTGAATGTTGGGCATATACTCACCATTTTCAAGGAGAACATCAAGAGTCACTTTAAAATCTTGAACCTCCTGGGAGGCAACTAAGGAACTATGGCAGGGGTGTCAAACTCAATTTCACTGAGGGCCACATCAGCATTGCAGTTGCCCTTGGGGGGCCGGGTGGGTGTGGCCAGAGTGGGAGCAGCCTACTGGGTGGGTGTGGATGGAGTGGGTGTGGCCTACTGGATGGGCATAGCAAGTTCTACATCATTCGCATCAAGGGGGCCTGTGGGGGCCTGGGCAAGAGTAGGACAGATCTGAGGGTCTCTGGCAGAAGGGGGTGGGGCCGGGGCAAG